ACAAACTAAACACCTTTTGAGTTTTTATGACAATTAAAGGCCGCCACAGGTTCTTTCTACACACTACACAATTCTACACACTGTACCTTTAAGTAAGTTGTTAAAACTATTCACCTGCAGAGTTCTGAAAATCTTTGGAATTAACAGAGTGATTTTATTTACAGTTTCATTTGATTTTATGTTTTTCCTTTTCAAGAATGATTCAGTCTTCATAAATTAAAGCTGTTTACACTTTGCTATGCCAGCTCCTCACCCTCTGCTGAGCTGTTCATCATATTTACCACTAAGTGGCGATGTTTCACTACAAATGCTATAAGAGACAAAGGTCAAATGTGCAGGAAGTATTAGGAATATAAAACAGTCCATAAATAAAAGATACTTTAAACATGTTAATCAACATATTTAGTAAGAACAATGTAACTTACATGAGTTTTGAAACTTAAAGAAAATAACTAAATAGATTCTCCTGGGTGAGTTAAGATTTTTCACTGGAGCATTTTCATATGAGAAAAGACTGGTGAAGTAAAGACAGTTATGTTCAATCATTTTGTTTTTAAATATATACATATTTGTAAATGTACTGTAGTAACCCTTTCATTCCTTACGATAAAGCTCAGGCCTATTTGAGCTGGGTCTTTTTTCGAAGGAGAGCAATGAGACAGAGATTGTGTGTGTTTGTGGAACTTGGGCCCCAGGGAGCCTGTCGAAGGTGGGGAAAGGTCCGAGCGCTAGGACCCTTCTGATTGGACGACTCCAGAGTTAACCAGTTCCTGGCTGGCTATGTATCTTGGCAGTTATTTTGACAGGCGCTATCGTTGTGAGAGAGGAGATAAGTTGTCTAAGGGATCGCCATGGCGCCGGTGTGTCCCTCCTCCGGCCTGTTCAGAGTCTCGTCATCCCTCTCCAACCCCCCCCCTCCTCCTCCTCTTCTCCCTGCCCAGTTTGGAACACAGTATTGTGAGGAGGTGGGTGGGGGGGTGTTTGGTCGGGAGTGGGCTTTGTATTGGCAGGGACCCAGTGGCTCTGGGTGTCATCGTCCCCTTCTGATCAAAACCTCCATGTGATGCAGAATGTCTTAACACAGAATGACCAGTCTGTTGCTCTCATTCATTCCAGCTCCTTATTTCTAAACTTATAATATAAATGTTAAACTTTTACTGCAAAAAAACTTAGACGAGGCCTGGTAAACTTTTGATTGAGGTTTTGCTGAGTAATGTTTTCAAGATGTTTTTGCTTTCCATCAAACATATACTGTCCCTGCTCTCACTCTCATATAAAATCAGTACAGTATATGAGCCTCGGATATTAGAATTTTTATAGTGGTCCCCTGAGACACACACACACACGCACACACACATGCACACGCACAGGAGTTTATGTTGCCGAAGATGAGCAGAAGAGCATAAAGAGGAAACAAAAGAAAGAGTGTGTTTTTCTAAGCTTTTTTTTTCTCAATATGTTTGTATGGATGCCACGAAGAACGCATATCCACTCATCCAGGTCCTCAGTTTAGTTTATCAAAATGTTTATAAAGTTGCATTGAAAGACTTAAAGAGTGGAAGTAGCAACTCAAATTATTCGATTATATATCTGTCATTTTTGCTTGGTGCCTTGTTTTGCTAAAAGAGCTCTAATAAATAAATCCTTTATCTAACCTCCATACCGAGCACAGGCCTTGGAGAGATTTAAAATCATTTTGCTCAGACGTCACACACTTTCTAGCTTAGACTACAGCCACTGATAACTTCAAGTACACCGTGGCAGCAAGAAGCCGCGAAACCTAAACACTGAGAAAGGATATGTCACACAAATGATAATTGATAGGGAATACAGGGCTCATAATTCATTATAATGAAGCAAACCTTTAAAAAAAAAAGTGCTGCAATATTTGAGAAAAGTCAGAAAGTGCTCATGTTTATGAAAAGATAACAGATGCTATTTAACTAATTAGGATGAGTGATATTTGAAATAGAGTTTAACTGAATGACATCAGCCAACAGCTCTGACACACTTGTGAGCCTCACGCTGAAGAGGTTGATTCAATGAAGTAGGTTAACTGTCACTGAAACAACAACTGATAATCACATACACTAGCCTAAATGTTATTCGTGTTTTAGTTTTTGCTATCAGTACTATTTGTTTTTCATTCAAAATGTATAATATTCAGATTTTTAGAACCTGTGTGATATAATTTAGCTTATTTTCAGATTTTTATGTTTTTTCTCATTTCAATGCAAATGATTTTTGTTTAGTTTTAATCTTTTAATTGGCCTGAGGGAAGACGAGCACTGTGTGAGTTCCCTCAGGAGAATATCAAGTAAGCAAATGAGAGCCTGCAGATTTTCCTGCGGACTTTCCGAGTATAAAGTCCGAAGAAGCAGATTTCCGAACACAGCTGGAGATTGATTCACCACGAGCAGGTGGGTGTGTTGATGACGTTTCTAGTCACTATTTCAATGTTAACTCAATCATAACTCAAAACCTATTTTAATGGAATTATAAGAGATTATTAAGGCCTCAATACATAACATGATGTTTGATGATTTAACATTGTTTTACCATAGGCCTACATTCACCCAGTAACTGCAAAAACTAATATAGAACTTGTGTAGGGTTAAAACATTTGGCTTGAAATGATGTTTTAAATTACATTTTATAAAACTGACAAAATATAAACTACAACAAAGGTTTGACCCAATGACAGAGTTGCTAATTCAATTTTTCTAGCCAATGATTTTCACATTGTTATGTCTCGGTTAAAATATTAGTTCCCCTGTGTTTTAAAGAAATTGTTAAAATGAAGGAAATAGTTGTAATTATGGCAAATTAAGCCACGGCAAGCAGTCAGTTAGCTTAGCTTCCACCTATAGGGGAAAGATTTAGCTGAAAAACTAAAATTAACCTAAACT